ACAGGAATCTATTTGGGCACGAAATCCCTTTTTTCCTTTTAGAATCCCACTTCTGTAACTCCCTCTCGCAATAATTAATTCTTTCGCTAATAAGTGAAGAATTAAAGATGTCACTATTATAATAGTTGAAGGACAAAAAATGGCATATTATGAAAGTTGAAGGGCTAAACATGGAAATATTCAAAGAAGGATACCAAAAGTGCCTTTCACACAATTGTCGAAAGACTAAAAGTGAAAAATTTCAAAGTCGAGTACTAAAAGTGTCAGTGACATACATGATATTCAAAAGTGGAAAAAATTCTTTACAAAAATTTAAATAACAATGAAGGAAAATATTCCCACATCTCAAAACTTGTGTCCTTAATATAGTGTATACTACGTATTATTTTGGATATCCTAAATTCAAAATAATAAAATTTATTGCCCTTTTGATAACCCTTATTTTCAACTTATCATCTAACTCATTCAAAAAAAAACTTATCAACTAGCTTTTAACAAAATCTTAAGTTTTGATTTCAAAAGTAATAAGATACTTTTCTGGAGTTACTTTTCTGGCTGAATTGTCTGGAGTTACGGTAGATGGTCATTTTAACTATTTTTTATATATCTTTTTATTTATTTTATTGTTAAAATATATCTTAAAAGTATAATTTTATATAATTCATCAAATTGAGCCAATTCACCCGCTTCAATCAAAATATGAGGGTAATTCCAGCAAGTTCAGCCGATTCAAGTCATTCCAATTGCTACTAAACATGCTCTTAATATGTTAAAATTTGGAGTGTTACTTGATAATTATATAAAAGATAAAATTAATTAAATCTGATATCAACATTCAATGATGATTGGTCAAAGCAAAAATACCATTGTTACCCAGTAGAATAGATAACATACTAAGAGATTGGTTTTACTTAAATACTTGTACTGATTTTGGTTCAAGTGAGAAATGCATCTAATGTGAGAAATGAGAATGAATCTCAGCCATTAGATTTACGAAGTTGCACTAAAAATGGCTTTATGTTGCAGTAATATTTAAATTTTGCAATGTTACACTAAAATTGTTTCATGTTGCACTAATATTTGACGGCGTTGCACCGAAATAGCTTCATGTTGCACTATACAAATGTAATACAGATTTTTCAGAAGTATTTACAGAAATGTCACCGTGCTAGATTGCATATTTTAGTGTATCATGGAGTGTCTTTTAGTGCAACTTAGTCAAATCCAATGGCTGAGATTCATTCTCACTTCTCACCTTCTCACTTGAACCTTACCCTACTTGTACTAACTTTTATTCTTTGGTGTTGAATGTAGTGTTAATTTTTTTACAAACCAATAACAAATAGCTAGTTAGCATGTTCCCTAGCATACCATTCATTGAAGAAGAGTCAATGGGAAAAAGAGTCAAATAAGCCCATATACTATATCAAATCCATCACATAGACCCTGTACAAAAATAACCATCATATAGACTTACTTACCTATGAAAAACGATCGATTAAACCCATATGATATAAGCTGACCTGTTGCGGCAGGTAAAGCTGTACGTCCAAACGGTACAATCACTTTTCCCTTTCCTTTTTATTTTAAAAATGTGCGAGTTGTTATATTGACTTGCTTTCCATTTATTTTTCTTTTCTTTCATTCCCTTTTCCTTTCAAACTTTTTCTTAACCACACGATATGGTGGTCTAAGGAAATATAAATCATTTTCAGTTTTTTTTTTGTTTTTCTTTTCTTGCTGATTCACTTTTTGATTTCCTAAAAAACGAACAGGTGGGGCTTGAATGAACAGGTAAAATCAAATTTCAAGGGAAGAAATTAATGAATAGTACTGAATTCCTTCTCTTTATTTATTAATGTATTACGAAATTCAATTTAAAAAAAAATTAAGTTCCTCTGTTTTTAAATTTTCAAAAACTGAATTTTTGAATTTTTTTTAGTACTAAAGAATGAAAGATATTAACGGTCAAACTTTTGCGATAACAAGCGCGAAAAGTGAACCTTTGCAATTGAAAAAGAACATAGGAAGTAATTTAGAGCATAATTCATCTTTTTCTATCTAATTCAATTTCAAGCAATGTGGTAGGTTAAAACTCACTTTTTAAAAACAAAAACAATCGCAAATACTTCCTAAAAATATTAATAAGAGAATCTAATTTTATAGACGATAAATGTATGCTACAGATAAAAATGTTTGAGACAAGATCAAAAAATGTTTAATTTTTATACGTGATGGTATCATGGATTGTGACCACGTCCCAAATACAAATTATATGCAAAGCCCATTGATAGAGAATAATTAATAAGAGCCGTGGGGCCTGAAAGGAGATCGTGACTCGCGAAAGGAACCCACAATCAGGCCGGCCTAAATAACAGACCTCGAGCCTGGGCGGGATTCCAGCGAGGTCGAACTCACCCTAGGGCTTACGCGGCAAGTTATCTATTGCGAATAAACTATCTGGCAGCGGCAGGGATCTAACGGAAGAATGTGGACATAAAGGAGTAATAATTGCGGAACGGAGGAAAATGTTAGAAATGTCCTATCATGATTGAATCTATTAAATGTATCGGTTATTTCTCCTTATGCTACTGTAGTTCTATGTTTATAAATACTTTATGTACTTATCCTAAAAGAGATCCGCCTCCTGAATAACAAAGATGTCTTACGCTGCCTAAATTTTTTTGCTCTTGTAGATTAGCTCTCATAGTTGGAATTAAACTCCATCAATACACATTTTCTAAAATGTTAATAATAGTTAGGTCACACAAAAAATGGCAATAAAAAACACATTTTTATAAACAAAAATGTCTGGTTTGGCATAAAAATGTATGAGAAAGGGTTTGAAATAGTACTGCGATGCATTTGCACACATTTTATTTAAATTAGGATCAATTGGAATGATTTTTGAATTCATATTCCTGAAAAAACTCAATTCAATTTGAATTGAAATGAGAGAAATACTTGATTAAAATCAGGGGGAAATTCTAGGATTTAAGTGCATCTATATAAAAACATATGTATATTAATGAAAAGTGGTCCGGTCCGGTTTTCCGGTTTGAACCGGTTTGTGCACACCCCTAGTTGCAACCCTCACAACATATGAGTATTAGCAACTCCTATGTCGTATAAAATTTTGGGTTTATCTTCATGAGATCTCAATCTTCGTGATCTCATGAACATTATAAAAATGATTAAAAGCCCGTTTGGTAGCACGAAAATCGGCTGTTTTGGCTGTTTCTACTGAAATTTATGAAGTTCTGGCTTAAGTGGCTGCATTGGCTGATTCTGCTGATTTAAGAAAAGATTATTTTTAAAATATATTTTATAAATAAAATAAAGAAAAAATTATATGTAAAAATAGCTAAAATGGTTATCTACAGTAACTTCAGCCAATACAGCCAGAAAAGTAACTTCAACCTTACTTTTTCTGCTTATTATACAATTCACCGCGTGAAAGCAAAAGTTAAGTGTTTGGTGAAAAACTTGACTGATAAGCCTAATAAGCCGAAAAACAGTGGTTCCAAACGGTCTCTAAGACTTCATTTTGAGTAAGTCCAAATTACATTTAATTAGAAGACTCATGAGATGTCGTATTACATACTATTGGCATCTTTTCCGTATATATATATATATATATATATATATATATATATATATATATATATATATATATATATATATATATATATATATATATATATATATATATATATATTAACTAAATGTAATATGTAAACATAAGTAAATAACAATCTTATGGATAATAACTAAATATCAAGTAAATATGAATGTGTATGAGTATATATACTTATATAGTATATATAATGTGTAAAGAATTATAATATGAATGTGTATAAGTATATATAAGTATATATTTATAAGTAGATAATTAATATATAAGCAGATATAATAATTATATAAATTATATATATGTAGAAAGAATTTGGAGAAGATAAAGAATGAAGATGATTGAATATGAGAGATTGAGAGAATAGAGAATTAGAGAGTAGGAAGAGTTGTAGAAGAAGAGGTGTAAAAAATGTATAGAAAATAGGAGTATAAATAAGTTTTTTTTGTATACCCCACCCCCACCCCCTAACCCCCCAGACCCCACTCCTATGCCCCCAACGGCTATAGAGTCGTTTGGAAACAGTCCCAACGGCTATAGAGCCTTTAATTATTATTATTTTTTTAAAAAAAAAATTGACCGTTAAGGCCCAGACCGGGCCCGGCCCGGGCCGGGTCACTTATACGCAGGCCCGAGCCCGGACCGCTATCAGACCGAGTCGGGTGGCCCGAACCTGTCCCTTCGGATGGACCTGAGCATTCCTCTATGTATGTATATATAATCTTATTAAAATAGCAAACCACATAACTATAGAATTGTGAAGCACATGCAGGGGCGTAGATAGGGGATGGCCATCCCTGGCCATGGCCCAGCCCAAATTTTAAAAATGTCTAAATTTTTAGGGTAAAAAATTCCGTGTCAATTTTTTTCTAAAAAAAAACTTTGTACCGGCCCAGTCCGGCCCAGTGTCCTGGCTCCGCCCCTGAGCACATGAACATCATCTTGTAATCGTTTTCAATTTCCACACACAAAATCATTTCAAGTAATACACACTTATACACATAACACATCAATTAACTAGAAAGGAGAAGTGCGGCTAGAAGATAGTTGATGACGCGCGTTCTGGATGATCTCTTTTGTTAGGTATTTTTTTGTTTTGCCGCTAGATTACAATCGTAAAACAAGCAGGGCCGAATTGAAGAAAACGGAGCTTGACGTATTTTATAATCAGTATTTGACGGATGTAAAGTAGTTTACTATCTTCCTCCAAGTAAAATATTTTATCGCAGAGAATATATTAGCTACCAAATATATACATAGAATATATTGACTATTAAATATGTATATTCTAACATTAAATATGTATATTCTAACAGAAATTTCACAAACTCTTAAATGTATTTTTGTAATATAAGTTTATGATTTATGTTTCCTAGTGTTAACAGTCAGATTTTTACTAAACACAAACATAGATTAGTTCATTATCTGAATAAGCAAAGAATAAAGTACTACATAGTAATGCAAATGCTAATTTTTTGACTGACAAAAAGATACTATATACTATCGTATTATCTAATCTCGTAATACTTTTTTATTTATTAAGAAATACGTAGTACATTGTTAAATACATTTTAGATAATTTATCAAATTCTATAAATTCATCAAATTTGTCGGCATTTTTATCAAGGATTTATTTATTGGGGGCATCCTAGTCGATGGCGCAAACGGCGATCACTTTTGCTGCTGGAGTTCTGATGTTCATCGAGGTCCACTGTCTGGGGGAAACGGGGTCTCTTCCGAGGAGCTTGAAGCAAAGTGGGCAGCTGGGTTTGGGATAATTCAAAGGGCTTCGTAGGTGGGTCATAGGTAGGGCTTAATTCGGACATATTCCCTCTAGGTTCCATCAATTGGCTCTGTTGGTGAGAGCTACAGACAAGAGCAGTCTGAAATCGAATCGAAGGATTTGAGGAGCACCCTGTTCGTTCCGCCATGCTCATCTTACGAGCTATGATTTTCTGTAATCATCGGCTCACTCAGCTGGGATCCCAAAGAAAGGATGAGGGCAGACGACCGAATCAGTCGGCTTGGGCTGTTGCGGCGGAACTCGTCGTCTGCTAGCCATCCTTGGCAACATATCCGAGGGCTCCTCCACCAACAACTTCATCAAAAGTTGGCCAAGGGACACTCAGTTGTCATTCGAAAACCGAGGGCTACATGCCTTGTATAACTGAAGGCTTCCAACAATGACTGGGAGCTCATCAAGCTCTAACGTCCGACGGCTCACACAACAAACCGTGACTATGCAGATGGTCACGGACGCCTTGATGAATGAGGAAGCACGAAGGAAGGAAGCTGGGAATGAACAGTCTTATGCTCTCGTCTCAGAAACCAGCAGGCGAGGGGGAGGCAGAAATGGAGGTAGAGGACGAGGTCGAGGCAGAGGCAGAGCTCGAGGTCAAAGTAGAGGGAGATCTCAAGCTCGAAGAAGATCACAAGAGCGGGGAAAGTTCGTCGATACCAATACTTGGTTCGAGGGCTATTGCAACCATTGTGGTCGGAAGAGATTAAAGGTGTATGGTCCTTGAAAATGGGGAATAACAGCTACGGCCCTTAGTGTTTAAAATTATAGCCTTGCCTTCTTAGTTAATTGTTAGAAATTAACTAAGTAACTAGTTTAACTAATATTAAATGGAAAATGATATGTAACAAGTAACTAATTTATTTTTTTTAAAGAGAAATGTAGAGAAATATAACAATTAACTAATTTAATAGATAAATGAGAAGTCTAACAATTAACTACTTTTATAAAATGTATGAATGTGTATAAGTCTATATAGTTTATATAATGTGTAAATGTATTATAAGTAATATATAATATAATGTTTATAGTATATAATATATAAGTATATTACTATAAGATGAGTAATACACTTATACTTAATACTTTAATATATATATATATATATATATATATATATATGTATGTATATATATATATACACACACACACACATATATATATATATATGTATATATATATATATATACACATATATATATGTGTATATATATATATACACATATATATATGTGTGTATATATATATATACACACACACACACACACACACACACACACACACACACATATATATATATATATATATATATATATATATATATATATATATATGTGACACCGCTCCCGAAGGTCCTTGAAAATTTGATTTAAAATTCAAAGTTTATGTATTGGATTTCTGATTCCCAAACAATTGTTAAACGATTAATGTTTTACGTAATTAATGACCGATTATTATACTGTTCGAACTCGTATATTAGTATCGGGCTTGCGAATACTCATTTTGGGCCCAACCTGCTAAAAATAGCAAGTATTCGAGAATGGCGTTCTGGATTCACTCGGGGGTGACCCACACGGCTAGTAGCCCAATAATATGTATGACAAATGTCAAATAAGTGATAGGATGATTAAAGAAGAATACAAATGCCTATAACCCCACCTTTGGCCTTATTGAGCTAAATAATGGGAGTAGGATTTTCCTTCTATAATATCTATCAAGTAAATTATTGGGATGAGCCTACACATATTGGAGATCAATAATGTGATTTGAGAAGTTGACTTGTTCTAAATAAATTGGAATGAATACAAAAAAGACATCTTTTGACAAAGATAAAACAATAGGACCCATCTTCCCATTTTTGGAAGTATTGGTAGATATTTTGGACCCCAAATTAAATGGGATCATTTGGGAACCATCCCACATGACCTTGGTACCTGCAAAGACAAAGAAAAATGGATGAGACAACTATGTGGGGCGGACTTTTGACTCATGAGCTACAACATTACAAAAAGGAAATAAAAGAGGAGGTCCATACCATGTTTGATTGCAATCAAATACCCCACCCTTCTTTTTTGTGAACCACATGCTCTCTTAGCATGATTGAGGCCTTCCTAATACATTTCCCCTACACCCCATTCGAACTCCCAAGATAAGAGAGAAAGAGGGAGCCACATATTCCAAGGGAGAAGAGAAGAGAGAAGCTGGCCGCAGGATTCGTTTTCCAGCAGATAGGGTCTCTTGTTTGATCCATAACTTGAGCTTCACTCGTCCAAATAAGGCGTATGATATACCAAAAGAAAGCTCTCAAGACGAGGAATCTGTGAAGGCCTGGTTTGCAGGAATAGGAGTTGTGGAAGGCTTCCAAATCGTCCGAGCAAAACGCAACCTCGCAGGAGAAGATTTAATCTTCTAAAGTGAGTTTTAACCCCAAAGCTTTACTTTTCATTCTCCAAATGATATGAACGATTGGTGAGACTATTATACACTAATCCAAGTGTATAATATGTCCTTATAAAGTTATTTTATTGATGTAAAGGTTAGATACTAACCTAGATGCAAATATTGGAAAACTAGGAATCGAGTTAGCCGGAAAACACCCGTTCTAGGGGCTGTTTTCATATCAACGATTAAGGGTTGAACTAGCACTTTGAGGAGGCTGTTTAACACTCATATTTGAGCAAGGAATCAGTCCCAAATCCACCTTGACCAAGGCTTTGACCATTGGACCAAGAAGGGAAAGTTTAAAGCTCAATTGAGGTGAGGATTGACATCTAATTGCTTACAACTTGTAGGTTAAGCATGAGATTACCTAAATGCTTAAATCATGATTTTTCATGGATTATGATGATTATATATTGATGAAATATTGATATAGTTGCCAAAGAATGAAATTTGAAATGATTTGAGAAGGTATGAATAATATGAGATTAAATGAGTATAAATGAACTATTTTGTGAAAATGGGCATTTTGCTCATGTATGAATTATGTGGATACATAAATGAATATTTGTGTATTGAGATTGAATACTTAAGTTGCTGCTACATAACTATAACTATGTAGAGAATTACAAGTAAAGAGGATAGTGGTATGATAACAATAATCTTAATAGCATTGAAATACTAGCTAGTGATTATTGGAACTTGTTGATTAAATTGATCCTAGGGATTGGATTGTATGAATGGTACTTGAACATAGTTCAAGTGTACATAATAACTTAGTATGGAACTAAGGTTAAGTTGTGGGAAGTCTTTAAGGATGACCCATGGTAGTTTATTGATATGTCAATTCTAGGCATAGGGTTGCTTGAGAATTGGACCTTAATGCATGGTGATGTGGTAGAGCCGAGCTCTAGAATGCATGTAAGGTGTAGACTTGTAGTCTATGTATTGTATAGCTAGAGCCGAGCTCTAGGACTTGCGTGGTGATGTGGTAGAGCCGAGCTCTAGAACGCAAGGTAAGGAAATTGACCCGAGGTATATGAATTGTATGGTGATGTGGTAGAGCCGAGCTCTAGAATACAATGTCATGTACTAGGGTTGGACTCTAGGAGTTGTCGTGGCTTATAGCCACGGGGTTGGGAATGGTGATTTCCAAATGAAAACGGGCCCACGGGCCGACTACTTGACTTTTATATAAAGTAAGTATATTTTTAAACGGGGTAACTTAGGGTTACAATCATAATGTACTATCACCCTACTTGAGGGTCTTGTGTTTGAAATACTTGTTGTATATCTATTAGATGCCTGCCACACCAGTACTTTATAGGCGTATAGAGTACTGACCCCTTCGGGGGCGTCCCACCACCATTTCAGGTTGAGGCTAGAGCTTGCTTCCTGTGCTCGTTGATCGAGTGATTCCTTGGAGAGAAGACTTGGTTCGTGCTTCCTCCATTCTGTTTTTAAATAATATTAAACTTGCTCATGGATATTTTACTATAGAGCCTGCGTGCTCATGAATAGCCCGGTGTGGCCTTTTTGTTTTAAACAATGTTTTCCGCTGCGTTATGAATTACTTATTATGTTTGTTTATGGATGACTTATGTGTGAATGATATTCATGACGCCTTGTATAATATGAATGTGTTGGACTGCGGTTGACTATTCGTATTGTACGGCGGGTTGTTGACGTGTCCGGGGAGGTCCGGGGCGTGACAATATATACACACACACACACACACACACACACACACACACACATATATATATATATATATACACACACACATATATATATATATATACATATATATATATATATATATATATATATATATGTGTGTGTGTGTGTGTGTGTGTGTATATATATATATGGAAAATTAATTCTAGCTTGTCTATGAGATTAGAAATTAAATTAAGCCAACCATATTTGAGCACATTAATAAGGCCTAGAAATAGGATAATTTAATGAAAAGGATTTACATCTTGTCTATGAGAAATAAATTCAATTGCTAAAATAAAGAGTTTTAGGATGAGTGTTAATTACTTGAATGGGAGTTGTAGAAGATGAGGAAGAAACAGGTTGTGTATGAGAAGAAGAGTTTGAAGTGTGGAGTTGAGAGTTGTCAGGAGGTGATTGATTTGGAGATAAACTAGGTGTAGAAGATAAAGACTTATGATGAGAATTGGAGTCATGGGGAGAAGAGTTAGGTTGTGAATGATTGGAGGAATCAGAAGATGAGTTTTGTTGAGAATGGGAGTGAGCAGATGAAGGGCTGAGAAACATCATTGTTGTTGTCATCAGGAGAGTGAGGTGAAGAGAAGGGAGTAGGGCCAGAGTTTGGAAGAATTGGACTGGCTCTGTTGTTGGGTTGGGTAGGAAGATAAAAAGTTATGGGGTGATTTGATGGAACTTGGACAGTAGAAGAAATGGTTGATTTGGTGGGAAAAAAGGTTGTATAATGGAATGTGGTCTCATTGAAGACAACATCCCTAGATATATAGATTTTACCACGGGGAGATAGACACTTATAACCCTTATGATGAGAGGAGTATCCTAGAAATACACACTCCTTTGAGTGGTAATCAAATTTATGCTTGTTATAGGGTCTTATGAAGGGATAACAGGAGCATCCAAAGACATTGTCCCAAAAAAGTTGTACAACCATATTAATATATACCGCTCCGATGTCGATTTCATTCCGGTACCTCCATCCTCGTACCTTACCCCTTACCCCTACCCTACCCTACCCACCCCAACCCCCACCCCGCGTACCCATTTTCCCCTATAATGACCTTACCCCACCCCCACCACATGCCCCGACCTCGGCCCCACCCCGATCCACCCTACCCTACCGCCACCCCCCTACCACCTCGATCCACCCTACCCTACCGCCACCCCTACCACCTCGACCCCACCCTACCCTACCCCCACCCCTCGTATATTACCACTTACCCCTACCTTACCCCTTACCACATGCCTCCTACCTCGGCCCCACCCCACCTCCATCCTACCCCCACCCCCACCCCCACCCTACCTCGGCCCCACCCGGATCCCGGGCCCACCCTACCGCCATCCTATCCCAAGTCCCTACCCTACCCCTACCTTACCCCAACCCCAAACCCTACCCACTACCCCCATCCTGGTCCCGACCCCACCCTACCACCATCCTATCCCAACTCCCTACCCTACCCCTACCTTACCCCAACCCCAAACCCCACCCTTACCGCCATCCTACCCCCCACCCTACCCCTTCCCTACCCCGGCCCCACCCCTGGTCCCGACCCCACCCTACCGCCATCCTATCCCAACTCCCTACCCTACCCCTACCTTACCCCAACCCTACCCACTACCCCACCCACGACCCTAACCCACCCACTACCCCCACGCAACCCCCTACCCCTAAACCTTACCACCCCACCCCGACCATACCCCTTACCCCACCCCCACCCATAACTTCCCTACCCGACCCCTAAGAGTAGGTATGGGTGGGTATGAAGG